GGATGGGTTTCGCGATGCGCCAGCACGTTTTCCACCGACTCTCGCCTTTTCCCCGACAGCGATTGGAGGAGAACGGTCTGGCACTGCGCCAGGCCCATGTTTCCTGACACGCCCCATCAAACTTACAATCAGCGAATAAGACCATATATATTCCATTCGTTATACCTAGAACAAAGGTTCATGACGGCCCTCCCAACTCACTCTTCTTTATACAGTCAGATTTTCAGAAGTTTTGGGAGCGTTTATCTCGGTATTCCTGATCTGGATAGTCACGGGTGTGCTGGTTGTTTTGGCTATTTTACGAATAGCCAACGCGGACTACGAGATCGATGCAACTATTATGGCGATAACGGCTGCTATAGGAGTTTTTGTAAATCTCATGTGAGTTTCCAAGCCCTTATCCGCTCTTCTCACGCTATTTGCAATACCCTTTCCCTCAAGGCTCGTTTCGGTTGAGAAATTCCCTATTAGGGGATCTTCACTGGGTGAGGGTCATATTTTTTTCCCTTTTGCGGGAGGTCTGCCATAATGTGGAAGGGTATGGGAGGTTTGGAATTAGAATTTCAAGTGAGAATCTTCAGGAGCAGTATACATTCTCAGGTCGAACACTTCAGCAAGGGCACATCGTTGTTGGGGGTTCCCGATTCCCCAACAGGGGGGGGGATCGTATTTGGCTGAGAAAAATTTTTTGATAGTCAATTTTCTTTGCCTTCAGGGATATTAGGGGGAGGGGCGTGTTTGCGCGTTGTTGGGAGGAGGTCGTATTTTTATGGTTCTCCTGGGTTTTTTCCATTTCACATGGGCCATTATCCACCCCGCCCCCGCTCTAATCCCCATTTCACCAATTCATAATTACCTCGTCGGGGAAGCAAAGTATGTGCGATTAGAGAGTAGAGTAGATAAAGATGCAAATTGTTGGGAGGGAAGGGGTTCATCGGTTACGAGACTACTTCAAGAGTTTTGTGCATGGTTACCATTGCGAAACCCTGCATCAGGGAACGTCCTGCCGTTGGGGAAACTATTCGCAAGATACGACCTTTCCCAAAACTCCCCCTCTGGCACGACCCTCCCCCCCAAACACCCCTTCACCAATGATACTGAACGTTTTCCTGAATTCTCTTAACATCCTTCCACTTTTCCGGAGAAATTCTCCTAGTTCATCCCTAGAAAACTGCTGTCAACCAGGGAGAGGAGACGGGGGAGAGTGATATTAGAGCGCACCCGAAACAAGAAAAACCAAGAAAAGTCAACAGCCGGAAATATTTTTCTCAGGGCAAATGCCACGTCCCCCCCCTCTCCAGCGACAAAATATGACCCCGTCGCGGAGGAAATCAAAGATACGACGTGCACAGCTAGAGAACAGCGACTGCCAGTGCAGCAATATGATGTGAAAAGCCAGGGGGAAGGCTTTTTAAGAGGGCGAAACCCCGGGGTGGGCTTATTGTGAAAAGCTCGAATGCCTAAGGCCACAGTGGTCACAGAACGTCATGTAGTCAGGATAAAACAAAGACGGCGTTCGAAGGGATTGAGCTTCAGTTATCTGTGGGCCTATCCTACCAGCAGAGGCGATGGTTGGGAGGGGGAGGGGGGAGTCGTGGTTTGCGACCAGTGTCTCCCACGGCATGCATTGGCAGATTTTCCGTCCTCCTTTTACTGCTAAGCATCCCACGGAATGTTTTGAATGTCGACATTTCAGAATGGGTGCTCTTCTCTACTTTGGAGGACACGCACATTCACATGGCGGTGGAAGTCATAGCCATGGTCACTCACATGCGGACCAATACGAAAGCATTCCAAGCGGTTCGTACTACGTCACTTGCGATATCTTTGTGATATTTTTCGCATCCTCAGTTCATACCAGAAGCAGCTGAGGGCAGTTCGGCGACGGGGGAGCATTTAGCACTTTCGTTGCTCCACTAGTTTCGGTTGGCAACTCTTACTCTTGTGAAACCTTTCAACTCTTGTGAAGCTGGAGCAATCCGGTCGAGCCCTGGTAAAACCTGTAAACTCTTGTAGCTCATGAAATAACTCTCTAGTGAGTCGGCACATTGATGGCGAGTAGCAGAAGTGCAAAATGCCCCCCTCCGTCGGCCAGCAGCTGTTATCAGAACGAAGTAAAAACATAGAATGTTCTAAGGAAATCACGCTGACTCGCCAAACATCAACGTCAGAGCGGCCTTTATCCACGTGTTCGGCGATCTCGTTCAGAGTGTTGGTGTGCTCATAGCGGCACTTATCATTTACTTCAATGTAAGTGCAGCTTCTCATTTATTCCGCTTTTCTTTTCATGAGTATCGCGTTCTGATTCAAATTAGACTTCTCATTTAGTCTGTTTATGCTCAGAGGCTATACAGTTGATGTCGTAGTAACCAGTCGGGGCGGTGCCAAACGGCATGGAATGAGCCCACCCGCTTCGGTCCCTATACTGGTCAATTTCTTTCTGATCCGACCACTAATCGCTGACTATTGGTAGAGAAAAGCGGCCGGAGGCGAGCTCGTTCCGCCATTTCTGGCACCGCCCTGACCGATTGTGCCGATATCGGCTATACTTTTGCCCTTCTTTAGTTGCCCTTCTTTAGGAAGAGCCATCGTGAGAGTTATGTGTTACGGCGTAGTTTAGAATGATCTTGTGGGCGGGGCCAGATGTGTCATTGCACCTGTCTCATTGGTGCGCCCGTCCACTCTAAGACAGTGAAATAGAGGGTGCCAATGACAAATTCCTGTCTCCTACTATGAATACAGCCTCAGCAAGAGTTTAACAAAGCTGTTGTCGCATAGTTCCTATACTCGAAATCCCTGAGATCGGGTAGGCGTGGCCGCATGTTTCAACTTAACCTGAAGGTGTCTATGCTTCTGGTGAGATATTTTCATCTTGACACAATTGTTGTCGTGTCTCTGTCCAACACAGAACAAGATGACAGTTGTCCCAGACTGGATATTCCACGAGTAACCAGTTCCGTGCCATGTTCAAATGCCACGCCTACTCTGTTTCAGGGATAAGGAGTGTAGATGTTCATAGTCAAGCGCCAAAAGCACGTAACATGAACTTCAATCGAGTCCGTATTCTTAATTCAGATGATTTAACTTCTCCAATGTTTATGTTTGAACACTAAAGGCAACACATTCCATTACAAAATATAAAATAATATAATATGAAAGGCACGTCTAATCCTGGACAAAACCACTCCATATCCGGGAGATGGAGAAGGTGTGGCTGCTTACTCATTCAAACGTGGCGACCGCTGCTTAGTGGGATCTTGGCGCTGTGGGACAACTGCAATTATGTCTTTGTTCAACGCAAGACAGGGTGACAGTTGTCTCACAAGCAACTTTTCCGCGAAAAACGCATCCTATGCTTGGTTTGAAAGAACACGCAGCCACGCCCTTTCCAATATCTTGGTATGGAGTGCACTGAAAGTATTTGCAACTATTCGAGGTAGGATTATAATGGAATTTCTCGGCGGTAAGAAGTGAAGAAGAAGTTTTTGGGTAAAAAGTGAAGTTTTTACTTCTTTCCAGGAAAGTTGGGCCATTGTTGATCCAATCTGTACACTTCTATTTTCTATTATTGTGCTATGCACTACAATCTATATTCTCAGAGATGCTCTGGTCGTTCTTCTGGAAGGTAACTTTTCCCGTTATTCTATTGTCTTGTGTTTATTTTATAAAAAATACAACAACATTTTGCTAGTTTTTTTTATCTTTACACCCAATTATATTTATCTTCGATTTATCAATGCCACACGTCTAACTTTTCTTCCCTTGTGTAGTAGCACTGACGTGTACAGTAGTAGCACTGACGTGTACATTTGTTCCCAATAAGCGCCGCGTCGATTAGTAGTACGCCGCGCGCGAAAATGTTGATTGTTAGTGGACTGCTGTACAATTTTGTTAGACGGTAACATGACCTATAGTGCATAACTGAGGGCAATGCGAGGCATTTCGGCGACAGCTGCGACACTTGTGCCGACTCTCCTCTCTTATGCATACGTATCTGCCTCTTTTCCGTCTGGACCATCGCAGCCACGACAGCCACGCCCCGTTGTGCCCTCAGATATGCACCGTACTCCCACAACACACCGGCGAACGACCTGCGGAAGTGATTCACAAGGCGCGTGAAACGGGGAAACAGCAATCTGACAAGAATTTCTGAGACAAATACGGCCCCCGTTATGATCTCAAATGCACGGCGTGCCCTGATTTCCATGCTCCCAATGCCGGCATTAGCATAATTTACAGATGTACAAAAAGTAACGGTAGAATTGTAATTTCGATAATTTTTACATACTTACTTCAGGAAGGCCCAGCAATATCGATTTTTCGCATGTGTTCACTTCATTGGAACAAATCGAAGGTGTGAAGAAAGTTCATGATCTACGGATATGGGCTCTTACGATGGACAAGGTAAGCAGGCTTTGCTATGGGAATCGATAAAAATAAAAGCAAGCGACCTGGGGGGGGGGGGGCATTCCGCACTTTCACTACTTTCTAAGACAGGTATTCTTCGCAAAAGTTGGCGAATGATCTCTACTAACTTTCGCTACTACTACTTCATGGCTTTACAAGATTTCACAGATCTCTACTTGAAGAAAGTAGCGAAAATGCGAAATGCCCCCACCCATTCCAAGCCGAGCCTGAAGTCATTTTCAATTACCTATTAACTATTACTCTTATTGATTACTGTCATACTATTGTCAACTACAATTGACTATTTAATTTTGATTTGAATTATTTAACTTGGCTATTTTTAATTTGTCCAGGTAGCCGTCTCAGTTCATCTCGAAGTGGCTCAACCACAAAACGCTCAATCGGTTTTACGTGACACAAGGATCATGCTGAGAAGGGACTTCGGTGTCCATGAAAGCACCATACAAATTGAAGGGTTCATAGCTGAAAAGGATTGTGACCGCTGTGATGTGCCCAAATAAGACTCCCTGGAACTGCCTTGTGATCTACTGTTTATTGTTTTGTTTACTTCCTTATCAGGTGACTTCCATGCGTCATAAGGTACGATTGTATAAATATGATTTCACTGTCATATGGTCATGCTTCTTTTCTTTCGCACATTATCCCGGAATCCGATCCCTAGTTTTCAAAGTCCGGGTCAGGTCTTCGATTCCTTCTAAAAATCTGTCTCAGTGGTAGCTTGACTTCCTGAATTTCGGG